AAGAGAGAATGGAAGCCAACCAAAAAAAAAGACAGAGAGGATTTCCTGGCGAAATTAGAATTCAATCAAGAAAAAGCAAATAGCATGCTGACGAAATTAGACGCCGACTTCAATGCCTGGCAGGAAGAGACGTTGGCCTACCCAGTGGAAACGATACCTGCGACGGCACAACAAGAAGAGGTTCCCATAGTGATACCGGTCGGAGTGACGATGGCCTGCCAAGAAATGGAGGCACGTCCAGAAGATGAAGAGCCGGCCTCAGTGCACAGGAAACCTGAGGCAGCAGAACAACGAGAGGTACCCGTACAAGACGCCGAAGTAATGCAGGTCAGAGAACCGAAGAAGAAAAGGCGCAGGGACCGAAATCGACGAAATAAGAATAATTCGACATGGAAAAATTGAGGACCCCAGAACAAATTGGCCGTCGTCAGCAGGAAGGTGTCCCGCCATGCAAGAGTGGCATGGCGCAAGAGGAACATCTTCAGGAAATCTTGGACCCGAGGGGATCATGAGTCCCAGAAGAAGTTGGCTGCCCCCTGCAGGAAGACATCCCGTCACGCGACAGTGGCCCGACGTTGGAGAAATGCCTTCAAGAAGGAAACTCCCCAGGGAACCTTCGGATGCCGGACAGAGGACTTGGCGCCACGGTCTCATGCCAGCAAGTGGCGGGAAGACCAGGAGAAACGACGACGTCAGTCAGTGCAAACAACGCATCGAGGGCTGTTGCGTCGACATAAACAAAGACTGGACACTGTGGAAGTGTCGACCGCCTCCAAAACGGAAAAGAAGACTTCAAGCAGAGGAGGAACCGGTAATGTAAAAGAGCCGGCCTCCCCAGAGAGAGTGAGTGTGCCATAGAATGAAAGTAATGGATGAATGGGACACAACTGGATCTTCTGGCGAGCTGAAAGGAAACCGCTCGAGACGAGCAGGTCTTAAGAGGGGAGCGGTTGTAACAGCCGGAGAACAATCGCTGCAAGGAGTAGCCCAAATACCAGGAGATGCAAAAAGAACAGCCTCCAAAGGAAAGGAACGGGATACACCGTTAGGCTATTCGGGACGAACAGCCTTAAGGAGGGAGCAGTGTGACATGTTGCGCAACGAAGGACCCCTACCTCCCCAGCGGCACGTGGCAGTAACGTAGCGCTCGCGTAATAGGCGAGTCATCACTCCGCCACTCTCCCCGCGGTGACGTCATGAGCGGAGCCAAAGTGAGCCGAGAGGAGCCGAAGATAGCCGAGCCCTCGCAACCTGGTAGCTATGCAACGCGAGTCAACAGCGGTGACGTAACAGGATGACGTGGCACTCATTACGCAACAAGCAAGCACTGCAGCTATATAAGTGAGCTGCACAGCAGCTACCAGGAGTTGTAATGCGACAGTCGCCGAGTGTGTTATCAACAGTTTTCCAGTCAGCCGACTACAAGTTGGAATATAGCAGCCGTTGCAGAAGGAAGAACCGGACGTGTGTGTGATTGTGTAATTGGGAGTGTGTGATACAGTGATACATAGCTCCCCTACTGTAAACGTGTAGACTACTGTAGACAGAGTGAACTGATTTGTGCATAGGGTTATAAAGTGTGAAACCCCACAACAGTGGTAACAGATTATTGCGATTAGGGTTATAAAGTGTGAAACCCCGCAACTGTGTTATAATTAATTGTAGCCGTTATTTGTAGATTGTTCAATAAACCAATTAACGATCTCTACGGCGCATTCAGTAACGCAACACGTTACAATATTAACAAAAGGTTCACTCATAGTTCAAACATTGCAAACGTTCTGTACTTCACTATTTGTATGTTTCGCTAACTAAAGAACTATGAACAAATTATTTAACTACCTAACTCCACTGGCAAGCAGTTACATAACTGATCAAGAAATTCCTTGTTATAGAATCTGAAAGTCTGTCATTACTAGAACACAAGTCCATAATTGGACTACAGTAAGCCAGTTTAATCTGCTCACACATTCACAACTTAGTTCACCAAGATTCAATTTAATCTTACACCTTACGCTTCTCATAGTTTTCTAACTAAACCTTTTCTGCAACCCTTGTTTACTTCAGTTTCACATCCCACAGGTTCATTGCAGGTTGTATCAGGACATACACAGCTCAGCGTTACTTCATCAAAGTAAATAAAATAATAGTTTTTGTTGATAAACAAAACAAGCAAGAAATAACATTCTTAATGGCTTCATAAAAGTAAATAATTTTAATTTTGAAGGCACAAGTTTAATGCAGAGTGTCATAACTTAGGTATCATATTTAATTCAAAATAACCTCCATAAGCTCTTCTACTTCTTCCCATATTTGCACCAATAGTATGACATGTTCAATAAACATGCCAGGTGATTTCTGTTATGTTTTAGACATTTCACAATATAAATTCTGTCAGTCTTTATGTGTTTACTTCTCCCTTACATTTGCATCACTCTTTTGTTTCTTCATCCTGCATGTACCCTTCATATATAGTTGAAAGATAGAATCCAATTTTAAACAGGTATTTTTCCTTCACAGTATACCCTGTCCTAAGGCCGCACCATAGCTCAAGCGGTTAGTGGCTGGCATCCTACCGCAGCGGCCCAGGTTCAAACCTGGGTCTGGTAAAGTCGGATTTGTGGTGGACAAAGTGGCGCTGGGGCGGGATTTCTCCGCGTACTTTGGTTTCCCCTGCCAATCTTCATTCCACCAAATTCTCCATCAACATAATCACCTGGGGCAGGTACAACAGGCCAATCAGTGGCCGCTGTGCCAAGCGGACCCAACTGGACTCCACCCCCCACAATGCGAATACCCTGTCCTAGGTCTGGAAATTGCTTTGTACAATAATCACCCGTTCAGTTATTTTCATAAACTCTTAAATTCAATTACTTTGTTCATGTCACTTCCCTATCTTTACTGATTTATTCCAGTTCATTCCTTCCTTAGGCATAGATTTACCTGAAGCTTCCTGAACAAGTCAGAAACAATAAAACACTATTTGTAGTATTACAAACAAAATATGAGAAATGTAGTAAAGCATGCAATTTAGGTCGCGCCATAGCTGAAGCGGTTAGTTTCTGGCTTCCCACCACGGCGGCCAGGGTTCGATCCTGGGCCTGGTCAAGTGGGATTTGTGGAGGACAAACTGGCTCTGGGGTGGATCTTCTCCGAGTACTTCGGTTTCCCCTGCCAATCTTCATTCTACCAAATTCTCCATCATCATAATCACCAGGGGCAGGCTACAATAGGCCAATCAGTAGTAAATGTGCCAACTGGACCCAGTTGGACTCCACCCACCCACTAAGCGAATTAAAAAAAAGAAGCATGCAATTCGCTTTGTTTCATTTCTGCCAAGTGGATCACAGTGGCCACATGGTGGTCTAAGGGGTGAAATGTCTCACCTACTCAAACACTCCAGGCATGGATGTCTCTGCATTTCTTCTGTCTTTAAGTTGCCCTGTGTAGGTAGTGGCCTTACAACAGGGCTTATCACCCATCCAAGGAGTCCTACAAACTGTCTGTAAGTGCCAGAATAATTCTGACAAGAAATACACCAATGCGCCAAATACAAGAGGTAGACAAAAAAGACACTTTTGTCAGTTATGACCCTATTAAACTCAATACATATATATTATGATTACAATGTATCCAAGTAACTACAGGTCACAATTATATACAATGATCTTCATACTCAGGGAAACAGGACTGCTGTATTATGATGGAATATCTACAGAAAGTAACAAGAAATCAACAGCTCTTGTTATTGCCCATGAACTTGCTCACATGTGGTTTGGTAACTTGGTTACTCTCCAATGGTGGGATTACACATGGCTGAATGAAGGATTCGCCCGTTTATTTCAGTACCTTTCAACAGATACAGTAAGTCCTATAATATGCATCATAAAGCTAAATTTTATTACATAATTTATAACCTCTGCCATATTAGTCTTTGGATTATGAGTCTCACTGTTACTGACAGGTGGAAACAGAATGGAGACTCATGGAGCAATTTGTGGTGGATCAGCAACACACAGTGTTTGCAAATGATGCTCTCCTAAGTGCCCAGCCTCTAACCAGCGAGTCAAACACACCTGCAGAGATATCAGCTAAATTTGGTACCATCACTTATAGCAAAGGTACTGATTTTCTAGAAATCTTGCCTACAATACAAACTGTTTACTACTGTTTATCAAATTCATTTATAATTAATTATGATTTTTATATATTCTGCTTAATTACTGACCACTGCCTTTTGTCAATAACTTATACTTTTTCTTTTATTTTATTAATTCATTTAATATTTATTTATTTATTCTTCTTCTATGGTGCAACAGCCTGATGTCGGGCCTTGCCTCCCTTATCAAGCCCCTCCATTCCTCTCTATCCTGCGCTGCTCTCTTCCAATTCCTTACGCCCATTAACTTCTTAGCATCTTCTTCCACCGCATCAATCCATCTAGTTCTTGATTTCCCAGCACGTCTCCTACCACCTATCGTACTGTATAATATTTTCTTTGGGATACGCTCCTTATCCATTCTCTGTACATGCCCAGCCCATTGCAATCTTTTGAGCTTTATCATCACTGAGATCTCTGGCTCCTTATATTTATTTATTTACTGGCTTTTAATTATTGCTGCAAATATTAATTTATCATCTCTCTGCTTCTCAAGGTGGCTCTGTGTTAAGAATGTTGAGGCATATCCTCACACCAGAAACCTTCCAAAAAGGAGTACAAAGATATCTAACTACACAGTAAGTCATTCAGCTCAAATAACGATTTCAAAATGTAACAGAACCCTAATTCAAAATAAATAATTTTTGGTTAAGTTGATCACTTATTAGTACTGAAACAAAAAGTCTGTGTACAAACGTTATCATTAGAGTAAAAAAGAGTAATTCATTTCATCACCATTTTTTTCTGAATACAATTAGTATTTTCAGCCCAATTTCTGGAGTAGAAAAACACGGAGTTTGTTTGTTTGTTTGTTTGTTTGTTATTACAGCTCACTAAGAAATATAATTCTTAATTGTCTGAGTGGATCACAGATACTC